TAACTAAGTAACTAAGTAATTAATTACTTTTGAAAATAAGTAATCAGTAAAGTAACGGGATTACTTTTTGGGGGAAGTAATCAGTAATTAGTTACTAATTACTTTTTTCAAGTAACTTGACCAACACTGCTCCTAAGTAATTTGTAACCTAACACATCAGAAACCAGCAATCATGAAAAAAAAAAAAAAAAGCAGTACTGCAAATTATTGGTCAGTGTCACAAGTCTTTAACGGGAATTTGCGACATCAATAAAATTGCTGTTAGCTTACCCCACACCAGTTGTTTGGTTTGTTCATGGCGTAACACTTCACAGATTACGCAAAGCTGCTAACTGAAGAGTGAGCTGAGGGTCGTCTAAGATTTAGCATTAATAAATGAAATTGATTATTATTGATGTATAATCAGGCTCTATATGATTTTAAAGACCTTATAGTACCATATCTCCCCACTGCAGCAATTCGCTCTCATGTTACTAGGATATTTAAATGTGTAGAATGGGAGGCAGAGCCTTCAGTTTTCAGGCCACTCTTCTGTGGAACCAGCTCCCAGCTTTGATTCAGGAGGCAGACACCCTCTCTACTTTGAAGATTAGTCTTAAGACTTGTTTTGACAAAGCATATAGCTCAGGCTGGATCAGGTGACTCTAAATCCTCCCTTAGTTATGCTGCTGTAGAAACAGGCTGCTGGGAGCTTCCCATGAAGCACTGAGCTCTCACACCCTTTCCTTCAGCATGTATTTATACACCTCTCTGCATTTAATAATGATTAACAACTCGCTCCACAGTCCTGTCTCCCTCTCCTCACCAGCAGATGGCTGCCCCTCTTGAGCCTGGTTCTGATGGAGGTTTATTCCTGTTAAAAGGGAGTTTTCCCTTCCCACTGTCGCCAAAGCCCTTGCTCACAGGGGCTTGTATGATAGTTGGAGTTTCTCTTATTATTGTGCGGTCTATACCTTACAATATAAAGTGCCTTGAAGCTACTTGTGACATTTGATTATATAAATAAAATTCAACTGAACACTGATGAGGGTTCCTTCAGCTGTGATTTCGTCAAATTCATTGAATTCTCTCAAAGACATCAGCAGATGCACATCCCGTGTATCTGGAAAGTAATTGTGGCACCCACACATTAATAACATCTATCACTTCCCTCTTTGTTTTTACAGACAGCAGATTACACTAGAACTGATTGTTGATGACCTCAGCAGTAGGCGTCACGATCTGTGACAGATTGTTGCTTAAATGCACTGACATATGACTGATTTAGTCTGAACAGTGAGAATGGAGGAGGGAAATGGTGTTTTTCAGACACTTGTCTGTGAAGACGATTTGCACGAGGAAGAGTATCCTCCTTACCATCAGTCTAACAGGATACAAGGTATAATAATTAAAATTTTTATTCATTGCACTCCCATAGTCAGGTTTCTGATTCTTTTGGCTGAAGTAAGTTTTTACAGAGTTAAGATACAATGACAGGACCTGATGATCTGAGACAACTATGTGTAAGGTTTACATGCTCTAACAGGACGTTTCTCATTGTTAAATTGAACTACCAGTGAACAGTAATATTATAAGTAATATCAGTAATTGTAATATAAGTTCTAAAATGGGCCACATTTTACTCTTTTAAAGCTTCAACCAACTTAAGTGTGTTACCTGCCTTTAAGCTGAAAATTGATAATGTTCTGCCTGTTTAGTGTCCATGTTCACTATGAGTCCTGGGAGACGCCACAGACTGGCTGCAGTGTGCCTGGCGCTTCTTGCTGCTGTTCTTCTGATACTGAATATTGGCCTGGGGATCCACTGTAAGTCATTATGAGTTATAGTGCACAGAAATGTTTTGATTATCAAATCATTTCTTGCATTTTTCTTTTGCAATTTAGCAAATGGTTATCAACGCTTGCCAATAGGCCCAAAACTAAAAAATATTAAACTGTAAAGAAAGCAATAAATTTTAAGTTTAACTTGTCAGAGTGGCTCCTTAGTGCAGTGGTTGTAATACAATTGGCTGGCACGCAGACATTTCCTGGATCAGTACCAGCCAGAGAGATGCTTTCCCTATGGGGAAGTGGGATGATCCACGAAGAATAACAACAAAATGTAGGACTGCTGCCAAATCAAACATGAGGAGCTCCCTCGTGATAAGGGTAGCCACTTTGTTCTAAAGGACTTAAAAACAACTCACTATCAAAATGGTTTCTGAGTAATTTGCTGTCAGCCTCTTACTGATTCACATAATGATTAACATTTCTAAATAAAACTGATGATGTACAATGTTGTCAAACCAACTGATTTTTAATATTATTACTAAAGAATAAGAAAAGTAACAGTCTTCAACACTTGCAGACAACAAACTCACAGACACTCACCTCACCCTCGATGATACCGAACGCATCAGCAAAGAGCTCATCAACCTCCAGGACACTTACAAGACTGCAGTGGAAACCATGAAGGATGCCAGCAAGCAGGTGGACAGTGAGATGAGCCGTCAGACACAAACCAACTGGGAGTTTGAACACCAGACAAAAAGAAGCAATGACTATAAAAGTCAGATGGAAAAAATCACAAAGGAAATTGAAACCATGAGATCATATTTACCAATGCTTAGTAAGGCCTGTTTTATTATTTTTGTATATAATGGAAAGCACAATGATTTGTTCCATAATTTTCTATAATAGTGATATTATCTTTTGGAAACAGGCGATGGCTGCAAACACTGTCCTGCAGGATGGATTTTAATGAACTCTGTATGTTACTACTTCCCCTTGAAATCAAATGAAATCAAAACATGGAAGGAATCCAGAGATTTCTGTCAGCTGCAGGGAGGAGATCTTATAATCATAGACAGCCAAGATGAAGAGGTTTGTTAGTATTTCTGTTCAGCGGTGTTCATGCAGATTTCTAAAAAATAATTTTTCGTTATTTTTTTTTTTTTGTTAGAACTCAACAGTCAATTACTTGATAAATCATCAAGCTGCCCCGAGACAAACTCGTGACCTGGTCTGGGAGCCTCCCTTTCCTCATGGACCTTGGATGGCTCACAGAGACCCTGAGTTGGATTGGATAAGAAGAAACCATTATCAAGATACGTCTCGTACTCCGCCGTTCTGGATCGGACTGAGAGACGTCCATGAGGAAGGGACTTGGAAATGGTGGGATGGAACATTACTTGCTGAAGGGTAAGAGTTTAGTGTCATTTAAAATGACTGCTTTCATTTCAAACATGAAGAAATATAAACATAAGCAACTCTTGTCTCCAACAACAATAATCTGCTTAATTTAC